ACTCCAGTGGGTTTCGGGAACTTGTACACCAGTCAATTGAAGGTTTAAGGCGGACGAGAACTTTGCTGACTCTGAGCCATGCTCGCTGAGAAAGGAGAGCACACACACACACACACACACACACACACACACACACACACACACACACACACACACACACACACACACACACACACACACACACACACACACACACACACACACACAGGTCACTCCCTACAGAACAATTCGGTAAGACCCTGACCCGTGTCTACCTGGTGCTGGCGGATCTAGGCCGGATTCTTAACATCCTTTAACAGTGTAAGGCTCGCGTCGCATGCCTTGTCTCTCCATCATCATACCTCCATCTTCTCGCTCCTAGACTCTTATCTTCTCTGTTCTCCCTTTCCCTCCCTTCTCCCCTCCCTGCCACCCTTCCCGAGCTCGCCAGAATATTAGGGGGCCTATATTTATCTTGAGCCGGAGACGAGGGGCCGAGCAAGGGCATGCGCAAGACTGTCACTACACAAGGGAACTTGCAAACGTTCAGAGGTTGACAACGAGGCTCGTCTCAAAATTAAGAGGGATGGGGGTTTGAAGAAAGGCTGCAGGAGCTGGAACTAACGTTCCTAGAAGAAAAAAAAAGGACAGGAAGGAGACATGATAGAGACATAAAAATACTTTGGTGGATTGACAGAGTGGAAAAATAGGAAAAGTTAACAGTGAATACCAAGAGAACAAAAGGGCAGGGGTGGAAACATGTGATGATAGACGTGTGTTTGATGTGAAGTGCTTCCACATGAAACACTCACCTGTCTATAACCACCTTATATCACGATATCTTCTCCCTGCAGCACGTCCAAGAGAGAACTACCAGTTTACACCTCCCCCCACTTACCCAGCTGACCAGTGGGAACGAAGGAGCATATTCCCCATCCCTCTACATAGGGTACACCTCCCCCCTCCTCTCACCACAACCTTATGGACTATGCCCGAAACGCATATGGGTTTATGCCCGAAACGCTTTGCGTAATAGTGGCTTTAGGCATTGTATGTACTAGCCCTATCTATGAATCCATCACTCTTTGTAAAATCTCTTGTATGTATGTACCTTACCTAAATAAACATTTTATTTGATTTTGATTTGACTATATATATATATATCTATATATATATATATATATAACTTTTTAGACACTCAACCCACCAGGGGACTCGAACACTGGCCAACAAGTTGGCCAGTGTTCGAGTCCCCTGGTGGGTTGAGTGTCTAAAAAGTTATAAACTTCAGCTACTGGAATAGGGTAGTCTGTGCATTAAGCATTTGGCACTGAGTTTTCCCATATAACAGGAACCGATGAAAGAGCATCCGAGGTCCCACACTATCTCATCGCCTGGGAGAGGATTGGGATTCTGGTTGGTTAAATACCCCAGAATTCCTACCTCTCTTATGGCTTTGAAGTATAGCGTAGTGGATACAGCATGCAACTGCCACCTTGTTGGCCAGTGTTCGAGTCCCCTGGTGGGTTGAGTGTCTAAAAAGTTATAAACTTCAGCTACTGGAATAGGGTAGTCTGTGCATTAAGCATTTGGCACTGAGTTTTCCCATATAACAGGAACCGATGAAAGAGCATCCGAGGTCCCACACTATCTCATCGCCTGGGAGAGGATTGGGATTCTGGTTGGTTAAATACCCCAGAATTCCTACCTCTCTTATGGCTTTGAAGTATAGCGTAGTGGATACAGCATGCAACTGCCACCTTGTTGGCCAGTGTTCGAGTCCCCTGGTGGGTTGAGTGTCTAAAAAGTTATAAACTTCAGCTACTGGAATAGGGTAGTCTGTGCATTAAGCATTTGGCACTGAGTTTTCCCATATAACAGGAACCGATGAAAGAGCATCCGAGGTCCCACACTATCTCATCGCCTGGGAGAGGATTGGGATTCTGGTTGGTTAAATACCCCAGAATTCCTACCTCTCTTATGGCTTTGAAGTATAGCGTAGTGGATACAGCATGCAACTGCCACCTTGTTGGCCAGTGTTCGAGTCCCCTGGTGGGTTGAGTGTCTAAAAAGTTATAAACTTCAGCTACTGGAATAGGGTAGTCTGTGCATTAAGCATTTGGCACTGAGTTTTCCCATATAACAGGAACCGATGAAAGAGCATCCGAGGTCCCACACTATCTCATCGCCTGGGAGAGGATTGGGATTCTGGTTGGTTAAATACCCCAGAATTCCTACCTCTCTTATGGCTTTGAAGTATAGCGTAGTGGATACAGCATGCAACTGCCACCTTGTTGGCCAGTGTTCGAGTCCCCTGGTGGGTTGAGTGTCTAAAAAGTTATAAACTTCAGCTACTGGAATAGGGTAGTCTGTGCATTAAGCATTTGGCACTGAGTTTTCCCATATAACAGGAACCGATGAAAGAGCATCCGAGGTCCCACACTATCTCATCGCCTGGGAGAGGATTGGGATTCTGGTTGGTTAAATACCCCAGAATTCCTACCTCTCTTATGGCTTTGAAGTATAGCGTAGTGGATACAGCATGCAACTGCCACCTTGTTGGCCAGTGTTCGAGTCCCCTGGTGGGTTGAGTGTCTAAAAAGTTATAAACTTCAGCTACTGGAATAGGGTAGTCTGTGCATTAAGCATTTGGCACTGAGTTTTCCCATATAACAGGAACCGATGAAAGAGCATCCGAGGTCCCACACTATCTCATCGCCTGGGAGAGGATTGGGATTCTGGTTGGTTAAATACCCCAGAATTCCTACCTCTCTTATGGCTTTGAAGTATAGCGTAGTGGATACAGCATGCAACTGCCACCTTGTTGGCCAGTGTTCGAGTCCCCTGGTGGGTTGAGTGTCTAAAAAGTTATAAACTTCAGCTACTGGAATAGGGTAGTCTGTGCATTAAGCATTTGGCACTGAGTTTTCCCATATAACAGGAACCGATGAAAGAGCATCCGAGGTCCCACACTATCTCATCGCCTGGGAGAGGATTGGGATTCTGGTTGGTTAAATACCCCAGAATTCCTACCTCTCTTATGGCTTTGAAGTATAGCGTAGTGGATACAGCATGCAACTGCCACCTTGTTGGCCAGTGTTCGAGTCCCCTGGTGGGTTGAGTGTCTAAAAAGTTATAAACTTCAGCTACTGGAATAGGGTAGTCTGTGCATTAAGCATTTGGCACTGAGTTTTCCCATATAACAGGAACCGATGAAAGAGCATCCGAGGTCCCACACTATCTCATCGCCTGGGAGAGGATTGGGATTCTGGTTGGTTAAATACCCCAGAATTCCTACCTCTCTTATGGCTTTGAAGTATAGCGTAGTGGATACAGCATGCAACTGCCACCTTGTTGGCCAGTGTTCGAGTCCCCTGGTGGGTTGAGTGTCTAAAAAGTTATAAACTTCAGCTACTGGAATAGGGTAGTCTGTGCATATATATATATATATATATATATATATATATATATATATATATATATATATATATATATATATATATATATATATATATTGGTATTTTGTTATTCTGCATTCGCTTCCTTCTCTGCCTCTGAGGATGCTAAGCTGCACTTAGCTAAACGCATGACTCCCATTATAAGTGTAAAGTAAACTTTCTAGAGTTAATTGTTCAACTTCTTTCACACAGTATTGTGTGATTTCAGTGATGATGATGAGCATATAATGAAACAAATCTTGTGTGTGTCAAACATCTGCTGAGCCGCGAACTGCGCAAAACTGATAAGAATCTGTAAAAGCCGGCCAGTGCTTGGATGAATCCTTTGGAAGAAGCTAATGTAGAATAACAAAATAGCAATATATATATATATATATATATGCAACAATGATCACAAAAACACTGATCCAAGTATGCAGAATAACCACATATGAAAAATAGAAAATGCTTAACGCGTTTTCGGCTAATTCGCCTTCATCAGAGCAAAGTAGAATGAAGCTTCTACTTTGCTCTGATGAAGGCGAATTAGCCGAAAACGCGTTAAGCATTTTCTATTTTTCATATGTGGTTATTCTGCATATATATATATATATATATATATATATATATATATATATATATATATATATATATATATATATAATATAATATATAATATATAATATATATATATATATATATATATATATATATATATATATATATATATATATATATAATATAGTCCATAAGCTTGTGGTGCCACACCTGCACTGCCACACCTATATTGCCACACCTGCACTGCCACATCTACAGTGTCACACCTGCACTGCCACATGTGTACTGTCACTCCTACAACACCTCTTATCCTCTGGAAAATGTTAATTGAACATAACTTTAAAGTGAACGTAAATGTGCACATTTATACAGTCACTGATCCTGGCCACTGTGTCAGGATGAGTGACTGTATGTAAATGTGCACATTTACGCTCTCTTTAATGTTATGTTGAATTAACATTTTCCAGAGGATAAAAGAGGTGATGTTGTAGGAGTGACAGTGCAGGTGTGGCAGTGTAGGAGTGACAGTGCAGGTGTGGCAGTGTAGGAGTGACAGTGCAGGTGTGGCAGTGTAGGAGTGACAGTGCAGGTGTAGCAGTGTAGGAGTGACAGGGCAGGTGTGGCAGTGTAGGAGTGACAGTGCAGGTGTGGCAGTGTAGGAGTGACAGTGCAGGTGTCGCAGTGTAGGAGTGACAGTGCAGGTGTGGCAGTGTAGGAGTGACAGTGCAGGTGTGGCAGTGTAGGAGTGACAGTGCAGGTGTGGCAGTGTAGGAGTGACAGGGCAGGTGTGGCAGTGTAGGAGTGACAGTGCAGGTGTGGCAGTGTAGGAGTGACAGGGCAGGTGTGGCAGTGTAGGAGTGACAGTGCAGGTGTGGCAGTGTAGGAGTGACAGTGCAGGTGTCGCAGTGTAGGAGTGACAGGGCAGGTGTGGCAGTATAGGAGTGAGAGGGCAGGTGTGACAGTGCAGGTGTGGGCCCCCATTGACAGTCGGGTTCACTCTGTTATACAATAACTGCGTCTCCACAGTGGCGGTCCAGTACTGGCACCTGGGTCGCCACAGTGGCGGTCCAGTATTGGCACCTGGGTCGCCACAGTGGCAGTCCAGTACTGGCACCTGGGTCGCCACAGTGGCGGTCCAGTACTGGCACCTGGGTCGCCACAGTGGCGATCCCGTACGTCACCTGCGTCGCCACAGTGGCGGTCCCGTACGTCACCTGGGTCGCCACAGTGGCGGTCCCGTACGTCACCTGGGTCGCCACAGTGGCGGTCCCGTACGTCACCTGGGTCGCCACAGTGGCGGTCCCATACGTCACCTGGGTCGCCACAGTGGCGGTCCCGTACGTCACCTGGGTCGCCACAGTGGCGGTCCAGTACTGGCACCTGCGTCGCCACAGTGGCGGTCCAGTACTGGCACCTGGGTCGCCACAGTGGCGGTCCCATACGTCACCTGGGTCGCCACAGTGGCAGTTCAGTACTGGCACCTGGGTCGCCACAGTGGCGGTCCCATACGTCACCTGGGTCGCCACAGTGGCGGTCCCATACGTCACCTGCGTCGCCACAGTGGCGGTCCAGTACTGGCACCTGGGTCGCCACAGTGGCGGTCCAGTACTGGCACCTGGGTCGCCACAGTGGCGGTCCAGTACTGGCACCTGGGTCACCACAGTGGCGGTCCAGTACTGGCACTTGGGTCGCCACAGTGGCGGTCCAGTACTGGCACCTGGGTCGCCACAGTGGCGGTCCAGTACTGGCACCTGGGTCGCCACAGTGGCGGTCCAGTACTGGCACCTGGGTCGCCACAGTGGCGGTTCAGTACTGGCACCTGGGTCGCCACAGTGGCGGTCCAGTACTGGCACCTGGGTCGCCACAGTGGCGGTTCAGTACTGGCACCTGGGTCGCCACAGTGGCGGTCCAGTACTGGCACCTGGGTCGCCACAGTGGCGGTCCATGTCTACAATAAGTCAGATACTGTTATGGATTAGTAATGAAGGCTGTGGAGCCCGCAGGTTTTTGTTACCCCGAGAGCCTCGGGCAGGTGATCATGCATCACTCTGTGATCATGCTACGACTCCAGAGGGCTTCAATTAGTGTGTATAACATGGAGTGGTATGCGTGTCAGCATGATGAGGGACGGGTACAATACCTGTGTGGTGTACCGCGTACGTGAGAGTGTAGGGGTCAGGGGGGGGGGTCATGTTGGCCCCTTGACCTTCCATTAATAATACATGTCAGTATCAGAGGTGACATAGTACTGGCCGGTGAGGCCCCCTGACCATATTGATCACAATGTGGGTGTCAACAGCACCTAACTGCTTCACAACTGAGACCAGGACGTGTACGTGTCTGGTACGACATACGCCAGGTAGTCGGGGGCTGGGTAGGACGCTGTAACGTAAGTAGACTGAACATTGACTCTCCGTCTTTCTATCGGTCTCGCTTCATGCAGGTCGGCGTTCAATCCTCGACCGCCCAAGGGGTTGGGCACCATTCCTTTCCCCCCGTCCCATCCCAGAACATTATCCTGACCCCTTCTTTATATAGTAGTAATGGCTTGGCGCTTCCTCCTGATAGGTCCCCATTCGTCACTCAATAACATCATATTCATTTGTGTTTAAGCACACAAAATCTATTGTAAGGTAAATTCGGACTGAATATTGTACAAAGTTCTCGAAAGTGTGAATGTTGTTTTAAGAGGTTTGGTCATTTGTATAGCGGGAAACTTATAAAATAATAAGGTAAAACCATGCAAATTGGCCGCTTGTCACAGCATCAGAACTGGCTGTGTTATAAGTGTGGTGTCTCTCTCTCCACAGGTAAGAGTGCGCAGTAACCCACTGACTGTTGCCTGGCCGCCAGCCTTAACAGCGTCACGGAGCCGTCACTCAGCAGGTAAGTGGCGGCGGGTGATCTCCTGACCTGTAGAGGGGTTCGAACCCCGTGGGTGTGTGTACCTCTCGCGGCTGGTGGTATTGTGTTGTTACAGGGCAGCACTCTGGCCTGATCTAGCTGACAGATCAATGGCCTCGTATGTTTCGCGTAGATCTGGATCAGACCTTCCATCATTGACTGGGTAGTCGGTGAGGCAGGTGGAGTTCTTTCATTGGGTACCGTTCTGCTCCGACTCCTATGTTCACCATCTTACATTTGCTGGTGTTGAAATCTAGTAGCCATTTCTAGGTCTTCGTTGGAGTATTCTGCAAGTCATATGTGTTCCGACTCTTCTCATTAATTTAGCAGTCTGCAAATATTGAGTTGTAGGGCTTTACCCCTGCTGTTAGATCATTAAGAGTGTATTAAAAGTTATTTTCCGTTCAGAAATATACAATCTTCCCATGCTTTTCTATTTCGTCATTTTTTTGTTTAGTTTATTATAGAACTCCAGTAAGTTGGTTAAGCATGATGTCTCTTCTTATGTTTATGTATTCGTTCTTAACTCTGTCGCACCTGTTCCTGTTTGCTCCTGTCCTGTCTTCTGTATTTTTTCAACATAGACATGCCAACAAGCAAACAAGAAATCTATTAAACCATGTATTTGTATACTCCTTCCAACCACTCTTCCTTGTTATTAGTATATATCTCTTACAAGCCTCTATGCATCTCCATTTGACTCGAGACGTCATTTCCTGGACTGTCTTCTCCCTAAATTCTTTCTCCCATTGCACATGTCCTGATCCTTTCTTACCTTCGATTGATTGATGAAGATTAAGCCACCCAACGGGCATGAATACCACGTAATTCTTACTTTCATATAACTTTCTTATTTATAATTTACCCTCATTGACCCCGTGACTTAGGGTCATTGCTTTCAGTTCACTCATGGAGTCAGAAAGAGCACACAAGGGTGGTGGCTCCTAGTGGTATTGAATGTTGCAAGTTATCAATGTCTTCTTCATTCTGGGTTAAGATTAGGTCTGTGCATCTTGCATTGGTGTTTTTGTATTCGTGTCTGGGTCTTCTATTGTTTGTTTGGGCAGGTTGTAAATTACCAGGACCATTATAGTTTTTTTCAGCTGTTGTTTAAGTGGTAGTGATGCGGTGTGTGTGTGTGTGTGTGTGTGTGTGTGTGTGTGTGTGTGTGTGTGTGTGTGTGTGTGTGTGTGTGTGTGTGCGTGTGTGTGTGTGTGTGTATTACCATCTGTAAGTTCCGCATTACTATAATTCTCTGTTTTATTAGTCGGGCCATGCGACCACTATGCCTTTTCTTCGTTTCTTTTCTTATTTTGTATCCTGTGTGTGTGTGTGTGTGTGTACTCACCTATATGTACTCACCTATATGTGCTTGCAGGATCGAGCATTGACTCTTGGATCCCGCCTTTCCAGCTATCGGTTGTTTACAGCAATGACTCCTGTCCCATTTCCCTATCATACCTAGTTTTAAAAGTATGAATAGTATTTGCTTCCACAACCTGTTCCCCAAGTGCATTCCATTTTTCTACTACTCTCACGCTAAAAGAAAACTTCCTAACATCTCTGTGACTCATCTGAGTTTCCAGTTTCCACCCATGTCCCCTCGTTCTGTTATTATTACGTGTGAACATTTCATCTATTTCCACTTTGTCAATTCCCCTGAGTATTTTATATGTCCCTATCATATCTCCTCTCTCCCTTCTTTTCTCTAGTGTCGTAAGGTTCAGTTCCTTCAGCCGCTCTTCATATCCCATCCCTCGTAACTCTGGGACAAGCCTCGTCGCAAACCTCTGAACCTTCTCCAGTTTCTTTATGTGTTTCTTCAGGTGGGGGCTCCATGATGGCGCGGGTAATGTGTGTGTGTGTGTGTATTTACTATATGTATCTGCAGAAGATGTGTGTGTGTGTGTGTGTGTGTGTGTGTGTGTGTGTGTGTGTGTGCATGTGTGTGTATGTGTTTGTGTTTATATGTGTTCTCACCTAATTGTGCTTGCGGGGGTTGAGCTCTGGCTCTTTGGTCTCGCCTCTCAACCGTCAATCAACAGGTGTACAGGTTCCTGAGCCTATTGGGCTCTATCATATCTACACTTGAAACTGTGTATGGAGTCAGCCTCCACCACATCACTGCCTAATGCATTCCATTTGTCAACCACTCTGACACTAAAAAAGTTCTTTCTAATATCTCTGTGGCTCATTTGGGCACTCAGTTTCCACCTGTGTCCCCTTGTGTTAAATAGCCTGTCTATATCTACCCTATGAATTCCCTTGAGAATCTTGAATGTGGTAACAATGTCCCCCCTGTGTGTGTGTATGTGTGTGTGTACTCACCTAGTTGTGGTTGCGGGGGTTGAGCTCTGGCTCTTTGGTCCCGCCTCTCAACCGTCAATCAACAGGTGTACAGATTCCTGAGCCTATTGGGCTCTATCATATCTACACTTGAAACTGTGTATGGAGTCAGCCTCTACCACATTGCTTCCTAATGCATTCCATTTGTCAACCACTCTGACACTAAAAATGTTCTTTCTAATATCTCTGTGGCTCATTTGGGCGCTCAGTTTCCACCTGTGTCCCCTTGTGCGTGTGCCCCTTGTGTTAAATAGCCTGTCTTTATCTATCCTATCAATTCCCTTGAGAATCTTGAATGTAGTGATCATGTCCCCCCTAACTCTTCTGTCTTCCAGCGAAGTGAGGTTCAATTCCCGCAGTCTCTCCTCGTAGCTCATACCTCTCAGCTCGGGTACTAGTCTGGTGGCAAATCTTTGAACCTTTTCCAGTTTAGTCTTATCCTTGACTAGATATGGACACCATGCTGGGGCTGCATACTCCAGAATTGGCCTGACATATGTGGTATACAAAGTTCTGAATGATTCTTTACACAAATTTCTGAATGCCGTTCGTATGTTGGCCAGCCTGGCATATGCCGCTGATGTTATCCTCTTGATATGTGCTGCAGGAGACAGGTCTGGCGTGATATCAACTCCCAAGTCTTTTTCTTTCTCTGACTCCTGAAGGATTTCCTCTCCCAGATGATACCTTGTATTTGGCCTCCTGCTCCCTGCACCTATCTTCATTACATTACATTTGGTTGGGTTGAACTCTAACAACCACTTGTTCGACCATGTGTGTGTGTGTGTGTGTGTGTGAAACAAAAATTAAACAACTGTCAAGCACTTAAGGAACTAAAAGCAGAAGTTATTTCTGGACTCAGTTCCGTGCAACGTATGTGCCTCCCCTCCCACTCCCTTCCAAGTCCCATTATCTCTCTCACTCTCACTCTGTAACCAAACAGGGAATGTCTCATACTAAATCCTTATATATAATAAGTCTTTAATTTTAATGACCTGGGTAAACAAAAGTTGTTAATGTGATAAGAATTTTCCCAAGACGAATCTCTTGTTAAAATGTGTGAGAACTGACGGTTTGGTGGTGATGGGACCAGTTGTGGAGTACTGGGGTCAGATGTGTGGTGCAGGTGTGTGGGGCTGGTGTGTGGGGCTGGTGTGTGGGGCTGGTGTGTGGGGCTGGTGTGTGGGGCAGGTGTGTTCTGCTGGTGTGTGGTGCTGGTGTGTGGTGCTGGTGTGTGGGGCTGGTGTGTGGTGCTGGTGTGTGGTGCTGGTGTGTGGTGCTGGTGTGTGGTGCTGGTGTGTGGTGCTGGTGTGTGGGGCTGGTGTGTGGTGCTGGTGTGTGGTGGGGTGGCTGGTGTGTGGGGCTGGTGTGTGGGGGGTGGGCAGGTGTGTGGGGCTGGTGTGTGGGGCTGGTGTGTGGGGCTGGTGTGTGGGGCAGGTGTGTGGTGTGGAGTGTGGTGCTGGTGTGTGCTGGTGTGTGGTGCTGGTGTGTGGTGCTGGTGTGTGGTGGCTGGTGTGTGGTGCTGGTGTGTGGTGGTGGGGCCGGTGTGTGGGGCTGGTGTGTGGTGCTGGTGTGTGGGGCTGGTGTGTGGTGGTGTGTGGTGCTGGTGTGTGGTGCTGGTGTGTGTGGGCTGGTGTGTGGTGCTGGTGTGTGGTGCTGGTGTGTGGGTGCTGGTGTGTGGGTGCTGTGGTGTGTGTGGGTGTGTGGGTGTGTGGTGCTGGTGTGTGGGGCTGGTGTGTGGGGCTGGTGTGTGGGGCTGGTGTGTGGTGCTGGTGTGTGGGGCTGGTGTGTGGTGCTGGTGTGTGGTGCTGGTGTGTGGTGCTGGTGTGTGGGGC